CGGTAATTTTCAAACGGCTAAAAATTTACCTCGAGTAAAAACTGACGTTACGATTTCGTAAGTAGGGATAGGCCATACCACAGTTACCATATGTTGAAATACGATTGGAACTCAGGAAATATTAGTTATTCAATAATTCATAAATTCTCAATTTTGTATTGGTTATATTCCTAATTAGACATAAAAATCAATTGTCTCAAAATATTCCCTCATCTGTTGTGGCTTATTATTTATAAGACATTTGTGTTAATATTAATATTATTATATTAATTCACACTAGAGGATATTTGAGGGTAAACGTGACAACCCGGCTTACGAATTGTGGGCGGTACCTTGTCAGTTCTCAGCATTCAGCACAATGTTGCCAAGTCTTCAACATCAACATGATATTTTGTTATAGGGTACAAGAGATATAAGTACAGGTATGCTGGTTGCTCATAAAAGTGATCTATATATAATATCATGGCTTACTCTTATTATGTTTTATCTCGTGTTTTATCCAACGACAGGACTCTAATCTTTATGATAAATTGATTATACCTGGTGACTTGACAACGTTGCTTCATGAGTGGAAATGAAAGATTATTTTGCAGTATTGCAGTATCATTGCAGAGAAAAGTGTTGTTTATCTGCCTGCCTCGTCTTCATTGAGATAGTTATAATGAATTGATGAATTACAAAAATATATCGCGTTCCAGTTACGAATGTTGGGAATATTATTCAGGTATGTTTCAGATTCAACATCCATGTTCCGCCTTTCATGAAAATCAGTATTAATTTGTATGGACTTCGATATTTGATGTCATGTTTATTTGCAGATCTGAGAAGCAAAGTGTTGATACTTATTGTCACTGAATCAGAGAAAACCATCCAGTCATGACGAATTGAACGAAGAATCCGCAAAGAAAAATGGCCAGAGAATACTCTACAGAATTCAGATCCTTATATTCGTACGGAAAGCGATATATTGATATCCTTTCCAGATTCTCAAGGAAATAGATAAGACAGATATTCACCTTTATGTCTCTATGGAAACACGACAGGTTGTTTCTCTGCCTGTCTCGTCTTCATTGAGATAGTTGATGAATTGATGAATTACAAAGATATATTCTGAGTAGGTCTCACGATTCAAATTTGAAATTGATACTTAGTTTCAGATCCGAGCAGCATATTGTTTGGCCTTCAAGGTCCTCAATATAACCCACGTAATTGAAAATGTGAAAGATGCCTAGTGGAAGAATCACTATTCGGAATGAAAGCAGATACGTAGCAATCCAGTTACGAACGTTGAAAATATTATTCAGGAATGTCTCAGATTCAACATCCATGTACTTCATCTAATGATATTTATTTTCTGATTTGAATGTATTTCGATTAATATGTAGCAATCCAGTTACGGATGACGAAAATATCATTCAGGTATGTCTCAGATTCAACATCCATGTACTTCATCTGATAATATTATATTCTGATTTAAATGTACTTCGATTAATATGTGATGTTTAGTTGCAGATCCGAAAAGCGTTTGATACTTGCCACTCAATCGGAGAAAACCACCCAGTCAAGACGAACCGAACAGAAGATCCGCAAAGAGACCTGACCAGAGTATACTTTACAGAATTCGGATTATTATATTCGTACGGAAGGCAATATATTGATATCCTTTCCAGATTCTCAAGAAAACAGATAAGACAGATATTCACCTTTATGTCTCTATGGAAACACGACAGGTACCCTTACGAGGGGAGAGTATCAACTCGGCGTTTATAAACCCTCTCTGCAAAGGAGGTAGGCGCATAGTGGGTTAGGTATATACAGTGTTCTTCATTGCAGAGAAAATTGTTGTTTATCTGCCTGTCTCGTCTTCATTGAGATAGTTGATGAATTACAAAAATATATCGCGTTCCAGTTACGAATGTAGAAAACAATATCCAATATTCTATGTAGGTCTCACGATTCGAATTTGAAAGTGATCCCTTAGTTTTAGATCCGAGCAGCACATCGTTTGGCCTTCAAGGTCCTTAATATAACCCGCGTACGTAATTGAAAATGTGGAAGATGCCTACTGGAAAAAAACACTATTCAGAAAGAAAGCGGATATGTAGCAATCCAGTTACGGACGTTGAATATATTATTCATGTATGTCTCAGATTCAACATCCATTTAATTCATCTAATGGTATTTATTTTCTGATATAAATGTACTTCGATTTAAATGTGATGTTCAGTTGCAGATCCAAGAAGCAGTGTTTGATACTTGCCACTCAATCGGAGAAAACCATTCAGTAAATACGGACCGAACAGAAGATCCGCAAAGAGAACTGACCAGAGTATACTTTTCAGAATTCAGATCATTATATTCGTACGGAAGGCAATATATTGATATCCTTTCCAGATTCTCAAGAAAACAGATAAGACAGATATTCACCTTTATGTCTCTATGGAAACACGACAGGTACCCTTACGAGGGGAGAGTATCAACTCGGCGTTTATAAACCCTCTCTGCAAAGGAGGTAGGCGCATCGTGGGTTAGGTATATACAGTGTTCTTCATTGCAGAGAAAATTGTTGTTTATCTGCCTGTCTCGTCTTCATTGAGAGAGTTGATGAATTACAAAAATATATCGCGTTCCAGTTACGAATGTTGAAAACAATATCTAATATTCCATGTAGTTCTCATGATTCAAATTTGAAAGTGATCCTTAGTTTTAGATCCAAGTAGCACATCGTTTGGCCTTCAAGTTCCTTAATATTATAACCCTGCGTACGCAATAGAAAATGTGGAAGATGCCTACTGGAAAAAACACTATTCGGAAAGAAAGCCGATATGTAGCAATCCAGTTACGGACGTTGAATATATTATTCAGGTATGTCTCAGATTCAACATCCATTTAATTCATCTAATGATATTTATTTTCTGATATGAATGTACTTCGATTTAAATGTGATGTTCAGTTGCAGATCCAAGAAGCAGTGATTGATACTTGCCACTCAATCGGAGAAAATCATTCAGTAAATACGGCCGAACAGAAGATCCGCAAAGAGAACTGAAGTATACTTTACAGAATTCAGATCATTATATTCGTACGGAAGGCAATATATTGATATCCTTTCCAGATTCTCAAGAAAACAGATAAGACAGATATTCACCTTTATGTCTCTATGGAAACACGACAGGTACCCTTACGAGGGGAGAGTATCAACTCGGCGTTTATAAACCCTCTCTGCAAAGGAGGTAGGCGCATCGTGGGTTAGGTATATACAGTGTTCTTCATTGCAGAGAAAATTGTTGTTTATCTGCCTGTCTCGTCTTCATTGAGATAGTTGATGAATTACAAAAATACATCGCGTTCCAGTTACGAATGTTGAAAACAATATCCAATATTCTATGTAGGTTTCATGATTCAAATTTGAAATAAGTGATCCTTAGTTTTAGATCCGAGCAGCACATCGTTTGGCCTTCAAGGTCCTTAATATTATAACCCTGCGTACGTGATAAAAAATTTGGAAGATGCCTACTTGAAAAAATACTATTCGGAAAGAAAGCTGATATGTAGCAATCCACTTACGGACGTTGAATATGTTATTTAGGTATGTCTCAGATTCAACATCCATTTAATTCATCTAATGATATTTATTTTCTGATATGAATGTGCTTCGATTGATATGTGATGTTCTGTTGCAGATCAGAGAACCAGTATTTGATACTTGCCACTCAATCGGAGAAAACCATCCAGTCCATACGAACCGAACAGAAGATTCACAAAGTGAACCGACCAGAGTATACTTATGGTGACTAGTTATGTTATTCGAAAAATCTGCAGCAATTTAAAAATTGACAGATGTCATAATTGTGCAATGTCGCCATCTTTCCGAAAAGTCGAGAAGAATTTCTAATACAAAAGCGGGTAAAACTGCATTTAGCATGCGATGGGTTTTTTTTCGAAAATTTTTTTTGGTACTTACGTATTTTTGTCTGAAAAACACGAATTTGATAATGAAAATGTGAACAAACCATTATTTATCAAGATATTTCACTATAAAGTTTCAAATTTCACCTTCTTTTCCGCCTGTCTTCTGGATTGAATTTTAAACAATTCACCCTTCTTTTTTCATCATTGGACAATTTATATATATCACAATGTAAGACACATTTTTTTCTATTATTGAGTCAACTAGAAATATGATTTTCTTGTGATTTATCCATATTTATTGAAAAGAAGGAAGAATATCATTTGAAATAATGGCCTGTGTAATGTCATTCCAAAGCAATCTATTGACATTTGACATCTCGTATTTGGATTGCCTATGGATAAAATGGCCGTCATCTGGTATGCTTGCTCACTAAATAGGAAAAACTCACCATAAAAATCATATTTCCTGTTGAATTTTCTGTATAAAAATGTGTCATTGAAGTACATCATGAGTATATAAAGTGTCCAATGACAAAATAAGAAGAGCAAGTACCTGAAAATGCATCCAACGCAAGGGGAAAAAGGAGTCGAAATTTCGAACTTTTTTTTGAAATATCTCGATAAATAGTGGTTTGTTCACATTTTCATTATCAAATTCGTGTTTTTCAGACAAAAATACGTAAGTACCAAAAAAAATTTTCGAAAAAAAACCCATCGCATGCTAAATGCAGTTTTACCCAAAAGCGCATTAGCAAGTACACCATCTACTTATTTCCATCATTGTCTAAACTGTGTACAAAATATCCACATGTATGTGTACATGATCTAAGGTACGCAGCTTGTCAGCTGTCAAACGTCATATGTCAAAACCTGTCATAACCACAATGGCGCATTTCATTTCAACATTTTCAACTTTTTAGTGACAAATATATCTAGAATCGTAGACATTAGACAATTTTGATTTGACCGAACGGTCTTGAACAGACATTGAAGTGCTAACTGCTCATTTTTCTAAATGCGTATTTGTGGTGGTATGTTATCTGTGATTAGTGCCCAACATCACTTGCTCATGCATTGAAAATTTTACAAATGGGTGAAATGGGCCCTACCATGGCTTCTAAACAAGATGTAGATGTGTTGGAAAATTGGGAGGACATTGAAGAGACTGATGTAATTTTATACTTCATTATTGAGAATGATAATAGTACTGATAGTTGATTCTCTAGTTGTTCTCACATGCCCACTTTTGAATTTTAAGGTTATTGTGTTTTTTAGGTACTAGAGAAAAAATTTAATAATCTCATAGCACCAAGTAAATCCTTAGACTGTAAAAGGTATTCATCTACAAAGTACTATTACAGATATAAAATTCTATTTCACCAATCTGGTTTTCAGTAATGGTAGTATAGAAACGCCTGTGAAAATAATACTTACTGGTGATGATGCCTTAAGAACACAATATGTGCCTCCAGAACCTTCAGTCAAGATCCTCAAGAGACCCTCAAAAAACTCCCATCTCAATGGGGACTCAAAAGTATACCAACCCAAGAAGACATTACAGCAAAGAGAACAGGAATATGCTGAAGCCAGACTTAGAATATTAGGAGAAGCTAGTCCTGAAAAATTAGAAGAAAAGTAAGTGTGATGCTGGTTCTTTCACCTGCAATGGAATTAAATATGGCCAATGCAAATTTTCATTACAGGATAAGTATACAGAAATCTAGACCAACAGAAAGAACAATAGATGTAAATGTGATAAGAATGCCCAAGGGACCTGATGGTACAACTGGTTTTAATATTCATAGATAGTATTTGTTAACTGTGTAACAATCTCTCAATTTTCAATGCATTGTTACTGTATATCATACTTGATTCAACGTTTTTAGGGGATGCACTCTGATTGAATACATGATCTCCTACTGAATCTGATAACAAACCTATATAAATGAGTGGTTTTCTATGAGATAAATATTGGCAAATTGAAATTTCCTTTGAAATCCAACATTATGTTCAATTTTTATGGTAAACCAGAAAATGTTTCCATATATTGTTGGATTTTCAATAAGCAAACAATTGCTTTCTTATACTGGATTACTTATTTGGACATTTTTCAATAGGTTTTTTTATATCAGTCTGTGGAATAGTATGTTCCAATAATATTAATTATTTAGTAAGGATACCAATAAGTGGAATTTCATCATATAATTGAACTCCTAAACAAATTTATTTGGATATGAGAAATCTATTGAGATTATACCTATACCTCCCAGTTTACTTTTTTAATCATGAAATAAGTTTTATGTAGTTGATCAGCTTGATATAAAATTTAAAGAATTCAATTATGCCAGTATTTGTGCAATATACAATAGGAGCAAGTTTTCACATCAAGTAATTCTTACCTGGTTATCTATATCACATGAGACAACCATAGAGCCGAGCATAGAGCCAAACTTCTTTGTGATAAATTCAAAATTAAAATTATCAATGAATATTATGATGATAAACCTTAAATTGTGTGATATGCTGAGTAGGTACTATTTCAGCTTCCAAAATACAAAGAGAGTTGGTTTGAAGATGCACTTTTTTCTAATTATCATGAGGATTAGTGCACCTCTTCCTATAATGATTTCATTTACTGAAACAGACGCACAACTCAATCCCTGTCAAAAGAAGAGTATGATTTGGGTACTTAGAGTTTGAACTTCAATTATTAACAATCATCACTTATTTATTATTATCTTTGTACCTACTAGAACAATCATGAAGAATGTAAATAATAAATTGGTGACCCCTCTATTTGTTCACTTTTTGTTGAACAAGAGCTAATAAGTATAGGTACATAGTATTTTGTTCATTAATTTTCCTAACCTTGTATATATATTATATTATATAAATAGTTACTTAAACCATCTTTGAATGTATTCAGACTAATTGATTTTCATATTAGCATAGGTCAATTTTGTTATCAACTTTTTTGTTTTTGCATCTTTGAAATGCTTATTTTTAGTTCAGGATGTTTTCAGGTATGGCTATAATGACTATTTATTATTTTTTGTAAAAATGCGTAATTTTATTATAATTGATGTTTTACGTTACATTTAAATGATCTTATTTTTAATATATTATATAAACAGACTATAAGTTTTGTTTCATTGAATTATACAGGGTTCACCGACGTATATCTGAAAGGGGGTGATAGGTGAGAACAATTCGAACATATTTCAATATTATACAAAGTGTTTCGAATTTCGAGATATCATTTTATCTGATTTTATCTCTTTTTCCTTAGAAATTTGAATAACAAGCAATTTCGAAATAATAAGCGATGATTTCTCGAAAAGTGTAACACTTTGTATAACAGTAACGAATATGGGTCAGCACAAAATATATTATTATTCAGACTGAAGGCGGGAATCTAGCCACAGCTCAAGGGTCAAGTGTTGCCAAATCGGTCATTTCATAGCTAGTTTTACTAATTTTGTAACCCGCCAAGCCTAGCTACTCAAAAATTGAATGAGACCAATAAACCTACTAAACCAAGAGACAAAATGAATACAATAATGGACGTGATAATAATGTGTCATTCAGTTTAGATTTCCAATTTATGAAATTTTGATTTTCTCGTACCAAACATATTGATATTAAAACGGCTAGGTTTGATAACAAACGGCAAAAATAGTTGAAATTTCAATTCTCTGGCCTGAAGTTTTCAATAAAATGGTGCCATTTGCAAAAAAATGCATGAAAATTAGATTTGCCTTTTTGAGCTCTTTTTTTGTAGAGGTAAGTATCTCTGCACCTCTTGGCAACACTGAATTATTAGATAGTTACGTTATGTGGTTACTGGCACGGCTACTGGTTAGGTAGTTATGAAAATTAATTTCGAAATAATCATTTCAAACAATGAAATGTTCAAAAGTGAATTTTTATAGAATCTACCTGTGCATTTTATAAGCAATTCTAAAGCAATATAGGTGAGTTATGGCAATACCAGACAATGAGATTTTCATGACAAAAATTTAGGATCTCTATTTTTTAGTTACCTATTTATTTCAATGGAGAATAGACAACCAGTTCAGGAGTTTATTGCTATCGAAACCTTTTCAGAATTTGATGCCGTACATCCTAGATTCAAAAAGGAAGACCCCGAGATTGCCCGTAAATATGAGAAAGAAAACTATTATTACTGCAAAGAATGCAACATATACTTTGCCCCTACTTATGAAGGACTCTTTGTACATTTCACAAAACAAATAATTTGCCACAAACAAATAGGGTCATGTTTTTATTGTAAAGGGAAAGCATACGAATATAGTTTGAACGAAGATTCCAGAGTTTTTCACAATTGCCAAGATTCCATCAAAGTGGCTTGTGATAGAAGCAATAAATGATATTCAATCAGGAATCAAGACTGAAGGTATATGAAGCTCATCTGATCAACTAGGTCATCTATTTTTTTCTCTATGGCAGATGGTGAAAGAAAATAGACTCATCAACTGAATATGGAAAACAGTGAACATGGATTTCTGCTCAATTTCTATACCTATATCTATTTTATCTCTGGAGATAAATGTAAATGATCCTATGAAAATTAAGGTTTTTTGCTTTTTCTGAGACTATCACATATTATTTATAGTTGAGTGTTTCCTTGAGATAAAACTTAACAAAATCTAACATTAGATATATGAATACACTGCCACTAAAGACAGACTAAAATTTTTTTCTGATTTCAATGATCTGTTCTATTAATTTTAGTTTAGAGCTTTGGGAATGTTACCATATGATAGTATTCAACATTTAATAAAATTTTGTTTTCCGTAGATACAAGCGAGGATATGTTTTTTTTATTGAAAAAAATCAGTTTTTGTGATTTGTGATTTATCATATTAGGGGCAACATTTTTCAGTTGTTCAAAAATGTCTAAATACTCAAAACATGATGACCTACTACATATTATTATTATGCTATGAATATATTGATTTTGTTGATGTTATAAAAAAAATATTTTTGTATTAATGTTTTCGATATTTTATGTACTGTGCTTAGGTATACAGTGTGTCCCACTTACCATGCTCACCATGGGTATCTTTTTAACGGTGAGAGATACGAGGTCGGTTAAATGACACCAAATGTGGAGTATCTATTCGTTTTTGTTTTATACGCAAAAAACAGATTTTGATCATTTTCATGTCTCCTCCGTAACTTCTTTATTTATGAAAATATTCAAATAGGAATTTCAAATTCTCATGGCAGTTTTTCAAAGTGATTTCGAAAAAAATATGAAATTTATACCAACTCTTCTAGAATTTGAGATATCAGCACCAACTTTAGTTTTTCAAATGTAGGTCATAGCTCACTATGACTTAGTTACAAATAACTTTTTTTTTCTCTTACAGATGATGCAGTAATAGTTTTGTTTTGATAACAACAGAGTTATCGTCATTTATAAATTTCAACAAAAAAATTTAATGAATAAACTGAGAATTCTACACCACCCTGTATTTGTTTCAATTAAATACGAGTAAATAGTAAATCAAAAGTTGAGATATGGACATGTAAGCCGTTTTGACCAATAATGAATAGTTTTGACACAAAAAATTCCCAAAAATGAAAAATCTCGATTTTCCACACACCCTATCTCGAAAATCATTCCCGCTAGTCCCCAAGTGTGTTAGGTCGTTGAATTCAGCTCTTCAAGGAGAACATGAAAATGCAATGAAATACAGGGTGTTCCATTTGAAAAAATTGATGTTCGATTTCGTGAGTCTTTCTTGCGCCCCTCGTATAAAATATAGTCATTCCTGAAGTTAGCACTCATAATGCGATATGATGTGAAATTATAATATTTTGAAAATTCCTATTGGTTCAGAAGATATTTAACTGTCCCACTGGTCTAAGGACACCCTGTATATCTGAAAATTTATTCATTCGGTTTTTTGTGAATTAATTCTAAAATAATCGTGATATTCGGGTGAAATATACCAAATTTCACTGTGATATCACGTTCATTTCTGAATTTACTCACAAAAAACAGGAAAAAATCAAACTTTGACACTTTTTGTATCTCAGAAATGAATAACTTGCGGACATAGGTATGTTTATACGAACTTTTCTTCTCATGTTTTGACGTCAGCAACATGCTTCTGTAATTTCTACGCGTACTTGAGAAAAACCCAGTAGAAATATTGTCAAAAACAAAAATTATCTGAAAGAACATTTTATTGACAATAATATTCGGTAGGGGGCCCCGGGATTTTACAATTCCAATTTAATCATGGCTAAATCAGCCCCTCATGACGAAGAATATCATTGCCAAATTTCAAGAGAATCGCTGGAAGGATATTTGAGATATTCATAAAAAATCGATTTTTTTCTAAAAAGTTTAACACACTGTATCTTGAAAACTATGCATCTCGGACTCACGTATATATGAAATAAATTTCATGTTTTCTCATGCAGAATCAGCCCCTTAATTTTTTGCGCATAATTTCCGGACACCCTGTATGTATAGCTAGTGAATTTCCCTGTTTAGCCCTAAAATATGACGACCGTATGTCAAGGTCTCGGTTGCAGCCTCTCGCTGTAAACTTCCACTTGTATTATACACTCAATAATAATCCCAACCTCAAACGATCTTTCTGGCGAATGAGCAACTGCCGGTGCGCTGCCCACGCTGAGTACGCCGGCAAAAATATTAGTCAAACCGAATCTAGTCAACCTTGCGTTACCTACCACGTCTGTGTGCGCGTCTTTAGAAAAGTCAGTGTGCATTTATATTTTCAAGTTTCCGGTTATAGGCCTCTTATCTTGGTATCGTATTCCGCTCGAAAATGTCATTTTGGAGCTCCATAACAGGTGAGATTTATTCATTATAATATAGATAGTATACCTTGGTAGTTCACTAAAATATCGGATATGTACGTTCTATTTAATAGACAATTATTTGGCTACGGTAGACGCGAACGCGGCTCTTTGCCAGATGTTCTAAATGCTTTAGGGCGTTGCAACTAAATTGGTGTCGAAGCAAGTTTCTCAGATTGATGTGGAATGAATGAATGGTCAGATGTAGATAGTGATAGATAGTAGGGGGTGCCGCGAGGGTCTGGTTTGTGGCCTGTGCTTTGATATAATTTATTCGGTCAATGTCTGATGGGACCCTCACAATTACGTTATATTTTTCAGTAGGTAACCAATGAGAACAAGGCGAGCATTCATTCAATTAGTAATTACTAAATATCAATAATTGCCAGTTAATATCGCTTCAATTACCAAATATTTTTCTTAACATTTCATGTATCTACAAAGCATATGACAATGGTATAAATTTTTCATGTTCAGAAAAAAACTTCCTTTCTTCCTTCCTTCTTCAGTATGAGCATCTTTTCGGTTATTTACACAAGAAAAAAATCAAGAAGAATATACCCTGTCGCCCTCTAAAATGTCGGATATGATTAATATTGGTGGGTATTGTATTCTTTGGGTATTGCTGCCTAACTGGATGTTCTTTGATGAATTGAAAAGCGTGAAAAACTATTCCAGGATGAAGTGACACCTTCTTACAGGAAAACCACTGCCCAAACTACATATATAATCGAAGAACTGTATACAGGGTGTGTAACAGGAATATGATATGTGCCTATACACCGTCTTTTTTCCTTTAGGTTTGAGGAATTTGGAACAATAGCCTATTAAAACACGTATCACTTGTTATGGATTTTCCAACTGCCGGTTTACACGCAAAAGGATTAGAGACCACAGATTGTTCTGTAAAAAAAATTGCTAGTAATTTTTGGATATTTCATACCCAAACATTCTATGTTGTTTGCTATAAAAAACAAATTGTCACTTTTTCTCGAAGTAGGTACAATGCATTTTTGTATGCAAAACAATTCAAACAGTTGACAAATATAAATTTTAGGGGGGTTTTAGTGTTTTTATGTCCCCGATTTCAAATAGTCGATATTTTATTCGTTCATTAATAAACTGATTGTTCTCCATACAAATGAATGTCAAGAATCGATGTGATAGAGAATTTAATAATTTTATTAATCTTGCAGTGTAAAATATACACTATAAAGAGTTCATCACGTAACCCATCCCCCAGACGGCACAATCATATTCCATGAATATCCTATGCATATTGCGTTGGATTATTGCCATATGCCATGAATATTCCATGTCCTCCAAAACATATGATATGCATATTCCAGGAATATCCAAGGTCACCATGAAACATATGCCAGGAATATCTGTGAATCTTCCAAAAGAGATTGGTGGCATATACTAGGAATATGTTTTTTGTATATGCATAGAATATGCTTTTCAATCATTACTAGAATGAAATATCTGTATGGAATGTAATTTATTATGTAAAAGATAGAAATCAACATACAGGATGTAGGTTTGTAAAATACTTGAAGCTTGCACTTTATATATCATATCATATGATTTTTTTCTTCTCTTGAACGGTAGCGGTGATGAATTCAACAGGATCTGCAATGATTATAACATAGCAAATACTAGAATATGAAAATTGATTGAATTCACTCACCTTTGCTCTGGGCGTGCTACAAAAGTTGAAAGAACTAGATACTGAATTTGTCAACATCTGAGTTAATCAGCTGATTTCAATCTCTTATTTATTTCTTTGTCACGTTTGTATCTTCAACAACACGAGTATTTCCTGGATTTTCCATTTGACAGATGGGTAGATATAAGTAAGTACTGAAAAAAATGAGGTGCATCTACAGGGTGTATCTAAATACCAGAGAAAAATTCCAAGTGGTGATTTCGTGATGAAAATTGAGGTGGGCGTTTGGTATGCATTTTTTTGAAAAATCTCTTCACGGAATAGTAATAACACCCTTCTCAAAATTAGAAAAATGGTTTTTTATTTTTCATTTCCCCTGTATATGACTAAAGGCACAGAACTTGTTAATATTATTCATCAAGAAAACTACCCATTTTGGAGTGTTTTCAACCCTGAAGTATGCTCAGAAAGGCTTGAAATATTCAACGCCTAAGATTTTTTTTTTACAACTTTTTTTATGAACACTTTTTTTTAATAAACACATGGCGAATGCTTTTCCAGAGATCAACAATAAGTTAGTAAATGCATTGGGATTTTCAGCTGTTTTTTTTTTAAGTTGTAAAATAAATATATTTCAACCACTTCTCAGCATGCTTCAGGGTGTGAAACATTTCAAAATGTGTAGTTTTAATGACACATGATATTCACCAAGTTTCGTGTCTTCAACTGAATATAAAGAGAAGTTAAAAAATTAAAACCATGTTTTTTTCAATCTTCGGATGTGTGTAACTTATCCGGGGTTGAGAGGGTTATCAAAAAATTCTATACCAAAAACCTTCATTCTCATCACAGAATCACCCCTTTCATTTTTTCGGTGTAATATAGATACACTTTGTATATGAATTCATTAATGTATAATCTTAGGTATACCTCATACTGGTATTGAGTGCCATTGAGTCTCCTTATTGTGATCCTCTTCAGTTTAATGGCGGCCAAAAAAGAAGTGCATCCTGAGTTAATGTTCCATTTTTGAATTGTAACTATAACTTCAAACGCCTGAAACTTCATATTGATGTCAACACTATTCACAGTAATCGATACACATTCTAGCACTTCTGCTTAAACTAATAATTCCATGCTCTTCTTGTCTGTTTATAATAAAAACAATCGCGGCATATTCGCGTCGATGTTGATATCACGTCCTTCACTAGGTGACTGTGGAATGCTGGAATGTGGAACAGAAGGCGATGACCGACAGACTCGCGTGTCGTGTCCATTCGGCATAGGTCGACATTCCGACAATCTGCTTTTGAAATATTCCTGGAATATTCTAAAAGCATATCTAATGGATATTCGATAAACATATTCAGGGAATATTCTTTGGGGATATCTAATGAATATTCGAAAAATATATTCCAGGAATATTCTTTGAGGATATTAGAACAAGCACATATTCATGGAATATTTCAGGCATAATGCAATATTCATTGGAAAATTGGATGAAGTAGGCATATTCCAGGAATATGAGGTGCCGTCTGGGCCGTTGTTCTCATCAAAATAAACATTTTTTTTTAAATATTAATCGAGAAGTGATTTCGGAAAAATAGTTATTTATTATACATTCCCGTGTATAATACACTATTTTTTTCTGTGACAGAAGGAAGGACGAATCAATATTGAGAAGATATTACATTATTTCGAAATCTGAAAATTATCGACGTGAAATTTCAAGTTTTTAACAGTAGGGACACCTGCGTTTTATAGGCATCTTTATCATTCTTTTGAAGTAATCAAATATCTGATGTCACTTCTGTCAGTTCAATTCTGTGATTTGATTTTAAAAAATTGCGAATTCAGTAGTTGTTTAGTAATATACGAAACCGCGAAGTCGAATGGAAGATAAAAGGACTTGCAGTTCTTTCTCGGAGACGGTATTATTGACTCATTTTTCGGAACTATAGCACAACAAAAGCCATTCACAGAGTATATATATGTGATATATCCGGGAAAGAAGTACTCACTTTTTTCCCACGGGAAAAAAGTAATTTATGAAAAGTGACATTTTATAACCTGCCAACAGAGATGAAATGCCAAACTTTTTTCCCGTCACAGAAAAAAAGTTGATTATTCTGACAAGCCTACTTTTTTTTTTTGTAATGTTCTCAGTAACTTTAGTTAGCTAAAACTAAGTAAAACATCCATCGACATAGAAAATTGTATTGTATTTTTGAATCGATTTAACATTTGAAAAATCATCTAAAATGATTTTTTAGAAATTTTCTTTTCCGTTTATATATCACAATGTACTCATATCTTCTTTTCCGCCTGTCTTTTGGATCGCATTTAGAACAATTCGCCCTTCTTTTTTAATCATTGGACAATTTATATATCACAATGTACTTCAATGACACATTTTTTTTATTATATCAGTCAACTAGAAATATGATTTTCTTGTGATTCATCCATATTTAGTGAAAAGAAGGAAGAATATCATTTAAAATATAATGGCGTGTGTAATGTCATTCAATGTTGACATTTGACATCTCGTATTAGGATTGACTATTGATTAAATGGCCGTCATCTGGTATGAATGTTCACTAAATATGAAAAACTCGCCATGAAAATCATATTTCCTGTTGAATTTTCTATATAAAAATGTGTCATTGAAGTACATCATGAGTACATAAAGTGTCCAATGACACAATAAGGAGAGCAAGCTAGTAGCTGTAAATGCATCCAACACAGGGGGAAAAAGAAGACGAAATTTCGAAATTTTTCTTGAAATATCTCGAAAACATTTCGAAAAAAACCCACCGCATGATAAATGCAGTTTTACCATAATTTCAACACCCTATATCTCCGATACCAAGCATTCCCAGATTATTCAAATATGCGTGTAGATCCTCAACTATTTTGTCAAAACCGCAAATTTTCCTGTTTACTCAACGAATATAATTATCTGTCTATATCTGAGGAATTTTGCTTGCCAATCCACTTCCACTAGGTATCGATTCCACAAATTACGTATTATTTTTGTTGTCGTGTGTTGTGTAGGTCAGACTTGCCGGAACCTTGCCGATTTCAAATCGATATTTCCATCACAAACCTGTAGACGCGTAAATAGTAATACCTACATTTCCTCAACTGCTGTGCGAAGATTATCGTGGCCTAAAATCAGCTTAGAAAAAAAATAAGGTGTAATTAGACAGCGATAGACCATTAAGCGAGGATGTTTGGTGAGTCGATTAATCTATTTTTATCGAAGAAATGCGTGCGAAACTTAGAAAATACTTGTTATTGCTAAGGCGTCCATGCTACTATTATTTATATTGGTACATTATTTTTAGATATTTCATAATTCCTTTATGGTTGATTGAGAAGGCTATCTACCCGCCCCTACAGAATATTCGAATACTTTTTTCCATTATTTCTTGCTAATCAACTATCCTACATTGACCTACATACAGTGTGTCCCACTCTGAGCAATAGAACCCTTGTGATTTCTTATTCGATGTCCAACATTCAACATTAATAAGTACTGCGGAATGCGATCTATACTTTCCTGAGTTCTCAATTCTCTCATTGCAGTATTACAAGGCCAACTGTGATCGATTCAAATTGTAAACTACAAAAAATCAGTAACATCAGGCATTTTTTCAGCGATGATGAATTAATATCATCAGCAAATTGAATGATACGGTTAGGAAATCTTCTACGATATTCTTCTACACTTCTTCTACAGTTTCCTTCATAAAAACCTAGCACTAACAGCATGTCAACTTGCTCCTTCCCGTTCATTTCAAAAACACTCAAACAACAATTACTCGATCAATTGAACAACTTACTTGCTTCATTGTCAAGTTTGACGTTTATTTTCATAGCCAACTTTTGAATTTTCGATGATTTTAAATAACACACCTAGAGCGCGCGTTTTCAGTTATTCGAGTTTTTGATGAAAATGATGAGATTTTTCGAAAAATTACTAGAGTAAGAAAAGTTTTAGAATTGAATTGCCCACAAAACAAAGCAAAGATTTTCGAAATCCATGAAGGGTTAACAAAATTCTGTTGAATATTAAATGATGCGCCACCCGGTATACCCCCTTTACAAATTTCAATTAAACTCTAGTTACTGTCAAGTAACGCCCTAATAACATCCACAAAGTGTACCAAATTTGGTTGCTTGGAGTTCAAGAATAACGGAGAAATTGATTTTTTTCAAAATTTATAACTTCACTTTCAAAGCCTATAACTCCTTAGGGAAGCAACTTGGTATAGAGGTGAGTTGCGTTAAGTTGCCATATTTTGGGACCCCCTACATGCCCCTGCTCTATGTCGGTTCTTATGTGAATCACCCTGTATTACGCTTACGCGTAAGCGTAATATATCAATCATCGGTGTGACTTCGCAATATCAAAACTTCCTTCTCTGTCACACTCATTGAGCATAGGGAAACTCAGAACGCGAATATCTGCGTAATCGTTTGAAATAACCCTATATCAAACCCGGTATCGATCATGTATCGATGAATTCGTTATGACAATCCTTAACCGATTATGGAATACAATAGGGTGTCCCTTTTGAAAATCAAAAGTTGGGTTCGTTTTCAGTAAAAGTGGAAGTGATAGAACACAAATTGTTTCGTCAATTAATGAGCAATTTGGTATACCAGCTGCTCACCAATTTTCCAAACGCTATCTCGGATAATTCCAAAGTTACAGTCCTGGCTGTTTTTTGTGCACTTCTCTGTATACTCGTGTGAACAAAATCTTCAATAGGTATAATTTGTGGAATCGATTGGATTTGTCTACTGAACTAAATTTTGATTAGGAACGTATCTTATACGCATCAACCTACGATTCAGAAAAAAACAAACATCGAATAAAACAGACTCAGGAAAACAATAATTACAAACTTCTAGACGCAAATAGTCAATTCATGGTGGTACGTTAATATTGTTGCGTAGTGTACATATTGATGGAAGGAATCCAATTAACTTTCTGTTCTGTAAAATTCCTACAAAACAAACTGAAACGTCATCCGCATAGGCATATTATATGTGTATTATTGCAACATCAACAAATATACACAGTGGGCGGGTATGAATGATGAATATTCTTCAAGGAGTTTTTCACAGAGAAGCTTCCACAAAAATTTATAATATGGATTTATTTGATAGGTACGTCATCATGAAACTCTTTGAGGAACATACGTATTGCAAAAAAATCAATACATCACATGTATACGATTTTATTTTAGAAATATTCACATGTCTCATTTGATGACAGGATAAAAATAATTCTATCTAATTACTCCTCAATTTTCTCCGGATACAATAAAAATTATTATACAGGGTGTTTGGTGCATCGTGTGCCAAATTGAAATGGTCGAATGAAGGGGTCATCTGCTATCCTTTAAGACTAGTTAACACCTCTCATGCCCTGTGGATTATTTTCAATCGTCTTTTTATCTGTTTATCAAAAAATGACCCAAATTCCATATTCAAATTCAAATTTTGAAAAAAGTATGAGGCCCAGACTCTGGATTTTAATTTTATTCAGATGTGTATTGTGTTAGAGTACTTTTAAATACATAACTATAGTGACATAAGTCATCTAGTTTTTTTTTTAATTCACTCGCAAAGTTTCGAAATATGTAAAACTCAAATTAAAGCTGTGACTTAACATGGCTACAAAAAAAACCAAAAGCGACCAGGACCTTCCAACTCCCTCAAAAGTTCTCTATATAGTCCATCCTCTTGTCAATAATGTGTCACATGCCATTAATATCTTTTGACAACTTTGTGAATTCGCTAGAAATGTCAATCAAGTCTTATTCAAAATGATCTGAAAAATTATTTTTGCGCAACTGTTACTCCAGAAACAAGTGAAATTTATATTTCTTGCACAACGTAAATCTGTTTGAACAAATCACGAACTGCCACCGACCCCATTATTTTTTAGTCGAGACATCACTGCCTTTGCTACCTAACGTGTTCATTTCATCGTACTCCGCGATTCTTTCATGCGTGGATTTGGCGCGATGACCCTATTTGTGTGGCCGCCACGTTCCCCAGACCTAACTCCGTTAGACTTTTATGTCTGGGGACCTGCCAAAGGGCTGGTATACGCCACGGAAGTTCCAACTAGGGATGTACTAGTCCAACGCATAGAAACGGCCTTCGATACCATTAAGGAGGAAATACGACATCTAACAACAACTGTCGAAATACGAAACAGATGTCGAGCCTGTATTCGCAACAGAGGTCAACACTTTGAGCAGGATTTGTGAGATTTATGAAATGAATGCGAAATAAATGTTGAAAATGCAATTTTATTTTTTGTTTATTCCAAGTATAATTGACGAAACAATAGAGATACGAGACTGATTTCACCTCATGAGAGTAAGATAACAAATTCAAAAGGTTCAGGTATCATTCAGACAAAAATAATTTTTCAAATCATAATTCTGAATATTTATTTTGCCTTATGTGACTCGATTCACAATTCTAGCGAATTCTCAAAGTTGTTAAAAGATATTTATGGCATGTGACACATCATTAGCAAGAGGATGGACTAGAGAACTTTCGAGGGAGTTGGAAGATCCTGGTCGCTGTTGGTTATTTTTTTGTAGTCATGTAGTCACAGCTTTAATTTGAGTTTCACATATTTCGAAACTTTGCGAGTAAATAAAAGAAAAACTAGATGACTTATGTCACTAGTTTTGTATCCAAAAGTACTCTAACACAATACACATCTGAATAGAATTGAAATCCAGAGTCTACGCCTTATACTTTTTTCAAAATTTGAATTTGAATGTGGAATTTGGGTCTTTTTTTGATGAACAGATGAAAAGACGATTAAAAATAATCCACAGGGCTTGAAACGTGTGAACTAGTCTTAAAGGATAGCAGATGACCCCTTCATTCGACCATTTCAATTTGGCACACGATGCACCAAACACCCTGTATATCCCATAATATTTTTTTCGTTTCCAAAATTTTTTGTACAAGTATAGGTACCACTCATCTGTTAGATGTTGCAGTTTTCCAATGAGGAGTATCGAAAACTTTCAATGCAATCAAACTTCATTTTCTATTGTGTGTAATGTGAGATCATTCTAGCATTTCTATCAAGGTCGAGCTAAATCATCATTTGAATTAATATTCTTATGTTCACTGATTCGTATTGTTGAACTCAACTGCGACGACGTAATCATTTATAATGTTTTATAAAACGGTAAACTGCTTGTGGTGTTGATGATTCACGAACTATTTTTGTGATTACATCAGCTCTATATGCATGGTTTAGAATAGAATAGAATAAGTTTTATTTCCTGAAGACAGTACATTCTGTATGGAAAAATTCGAACAAATTATGAAAAAAAGGAGTCAAATATGCTTGATTAACAATGACAAAAGAATAGCAAACACAAACATATAAAAAACAGATGTTACACACACATATAGGGTTATGAAGAAGTAAGTAATGCACAAAATTCATAAAACGTACAACGATCACTTTTGAAAAAAATGCAAAAACACGTCAAACTGTCTTTTTTTATCCCGCATCTTTTGACATAAGTTACAAATATAACACGTCAAAGTTGTCAAAGTTATGACGTCATCAACAAATTTTTTTAATGGGAAGCTAAGATTTTTATTACATTATGTGAGCCCTACTGCAACTATTTTTCCCTTGTGTAAAAACACAAGCTCTATTGTGATAGTACAAATTAACACATTTTTCGAAAAAAAATCTTTTTCTCGACAATCTGGGAAGATGGGAGAAACATTGTGAAACCATAGAGTAAGGACCTCTATGAAAATGTAATTTTCCGTGGTTCAATAAAGACTTCTTCTTCTTTCGAGGAATATGCTCGAGAATTATGAAAATATGCTAGAAAAAAATCTCAAAAATTTTCCATAAAATTGGGAGTGTGGAGATTCTTTTAATATTTTGCAGAGTTTTGTTTGTCAGCCTGTATAGCCAGAGGTTACCATAATGTATTCCCATCAGCGGTCTATCTGTCATATACCCAATGGATCAATCTTCAGAATAAAGAAAACAACATCCGAATAAGTGGAATTTTCGCGAGAATATTCAATGTTGAGTTTAGAGCAAAATGTGCTTGATCAGGGCCTACTCTATGATCATGTGAGATGGAGTAGGCCCTGGCTTGATGCGTTTCGAATGATCAGCAGTTTATTTATTAGCTGCGCGTTTTCAATAAAATAA